AATTCATAAACTGCAAGTAAAAAACATTTTAATATAGAGGGAGGGAAGCTGTACAGCCACCATATTAAGAAAAAAAGAATTTACGGTAAGTAATAATTTCTGTTTTTCTGACATATGGTGGCATTACCTGAGGGATATAGCAAGATCCCAATCTGGGCGGGTCCTACGCCACTATAGCATGTAACACCTTACGCCCAAAGGCCACTTCAGAGGATGAGAATATATCTAGCCTGTAGTGCTTGATGAAGGTCTTTAAGGAAGACCAAGATGCTCCCTTACAGATGTCTTCTGGAGAAGCAAGAGCCTTTCCCTCCCATGAGGCAGACATAGCCTGAGTGGAATGAGCTGTGAGAGAAATTGGAACTTGAAAACCACCGGAAGAATATGCCAATCTAATAGCTTGTTTGAACCAACGAGACAAAGAATTGCGGGAAGCATCTTTCCCCTTGAATTTTCCCTGGAAGTTAACAAACAGATGGTCCGAATTCCTATACTTCTTAGTCCTAGAAAGATAAATGTGTATCCATGTTATGCCATTTAAGCTCCTGAGGATAGGAGGCATTACAACAAAATGAAGGCAAAACAATCAGTTGATTCACTGTCTTTGAGGACAAAACCTTTGGTAAAAAGTTTTAGGGTGAAGAACAACCTTGTTCTCGTGGAACACTGTAAATTAATTTGAGGAAGAAAGCACCTGAAGTTCACTGACTCTTTTATTCGATTTAATGGCCACCAAAAAGGCAACCTTGAGGACAACATTTTTAAGGGAACCTCTTCTAAAGGCTCGAAAGGGGGTTCACAGAGAGCCTGTAAAACCAGGGATAAATCCCAGGAGGGAAAAACAAATCTCCTAGGAGGATGTCTGAGCCTGATTGATTTAAAAAATCTTCAGATTAGCACATCGGATGCGAAATCCTTAATCAGGAAGAAACTTAAGGCTCAAATCTGAACTTTAAGAGTAGATACACCCAAACCTACAGAAAAACCATCCTGAAGAAAGTGAAGAATGGTGTCTAGAGAGGGATGAACATGCAGGCAATGGTGTTCCTTACACCAATGAAGAAACCTGACCCATATACGAAAGTATATCTTTGAAGTAGAATGTCTAGTTGACTGAAGCAAAATAGCAATTCTGTCTTCTTGCAGACCTTGATGACGCAGAATTAACCTAACAGTAGCCGGGCCGTCAACCTGAACATCTTCAGAATCAGTAGTGGTAGACTATCACTATGAGATCGTTCGAGATAGGAAGTTCCCAATGTGTGGAGGCCATATTCTTCAAAGCTGAGAGCCACACCCTGTTTGGCCAGTATGGAATAATAGCCAGGATCACAGCTCTGTCTGCTCTTATTTTCTGAAGAATCCTTGGAATTAGCTTCAGGAAAGATGTAGGCCAGCCTGAAATTCCACTTCATTGATAGTCAGTCTATCCACTGAGGGTGATCTGCTCTGAACAGGGAGGCAAATTGGGGAACCTTGTTGTTTGTACTTCTTGCCATCAGGTCTATGTCTGGAACTCCAAATTTCCTTCTCAGACTGTCGAAAATTCTTGGATTTAAGGATTATTCTTTCTGATCCCACTTTCCCCTGCTGAGATCGTCGGCTATGACATTGTGGATCCCTCTGATGTGAACTGCTGAAATATCTTCTAGATATTTTTGTTCCCACTGCATGATTTCCACGCACAGGAGATAAAAAGCTCTTACTCTGGTTTCTCCTTATCGGTTGACGTATGAAACCATTGTACAATTGTCCGATTTAATTCTTACGGCCTTCTGCTGTATCCACAGTCTGAAGTGATGAAGGGCGAACAGCATGGCTTTTAACTCCTTGAAATTTGCGGATTCTCCCATTTCCTTGACTGACCAAGTACCTTGATAAATGATGGTGCCTAGATAAGCTCTCCAACCTGTTTTAGAAGCATCGGTAGTGATCACCAACCAGATCTTTGGACAGAAAGACAAGCCTCTTGAAAAGAACTCTGAGGTTTTCCACCAAAATAGTTGAGCTTTTACTTGAGGGGAAATCTGGAACCACACATCTAGATCCTCTTCCTTTCTTGACCAGGCCATTAGAATCTCTCACTGTAGAGGCCTCACATTTTATTTGCCCACTTGACCATGGTAAAGGCAGATGTGAGGAAACCTAGAATGCTCATAATGTGTCTGAAGGAACAAATTTCTTCTTTTTGCAAGCTGGATACTATTCTTCGAATCTTCTTTCTCCTTTGTTTGGGAAGATAAACCGACAAGGTGTATGAATTGATCATGAGACCTAGGAACTCTATCTCCCTTGTTTGAATAAGAATTGACTTTTGTAAATTTAGGATCCAACCATGATCCTGCAGCAGTTTGATAGTGATCCGTTGGTCGATGAGAAGAAGCTGTCTTGTTCTTGCTATGAGAAGCCAGTCATCCAGGTATGGGATGATGGTGACCCCTATATCCCTTAAAAAAGAGCTGTAATGGGAGCCAATATCTTAGTGAATATCCTCGGGGCAGATGATAGACCAAATAGTAGAGCCCTGAACTGGTAATGATAGAAGGTCTTGCCCCTTTTTACTGTGAACCTTAGGAACTTTCTTGATTAAACAGCAATTGGGACGTGAAGATATGCATCCTTTAGGTCTAGTTTTACCATGAAGTCGCCTTCTTGTAGGATCAGAATTGTAGAGGCAATCAACTCCATGCATAACCTCTAATATGGAATAAACTGATTGATTATTTTCAAATCTAAAATAGGATGAAACGAGTGGTCTGGTTTTGCAACGAGGAAGAGTCTTCAATACACTCCATGGTACTTTTGATGTTCCGGAACTCTCTCTATGACTCCTTTCTGAAAAAGTAAAATAGTTTTGGAAATCAGGGCTTTTTACTTTTTTGAGGATGGGTAAGCAAAAATGAGAAAATTTGATCTTGGTCTTCTCGTTAAGAGTGTCTTTTTGTATTAGATTTAGAATCCATGGATTTCTTATAGTTCTTTCCCATGTATGGTAGAACCGTTGGATTCTTCCTCCCACTCTTTTGGTGTCAGAAACGTTTACCTTTGTCTGCTCTGTAAGATCTCTTGAAATCGCCTCTTTGTTCAAAACTTTTTTTCTTTCCTTTGAAAATAAAAAAGCCTCTCTTGGTATGATCTCCTGTTTCTATACTGGAAATTCCTGTTACCTGCTTTCCATGCAAATTTTCTTTCTTGAGGTAGAGCCTTCTTAGTCTCTGACATTTGTTTTATGTCAGGGAGACACAACAGCTTCTGCTTTTCCAAGGGAAGCTCACAAAGGACAGATTTAGATGCGGTATCGGCCATCCATGATCTTAACCATAAAGCTCGCCTTGCTACAGAGGATAATCCCACGATCGTCGATGCCAGCTTCAAAACTTCCACAGTCATATCCATCAAAAATTCATTTGACAACCGTAAATTCTGGTACAATTGGATAAGATGCTTATCCTGACCTTCAGATATCAGGTCCTGCAATGTGTTGAGCCAAAAGCCATTAGCTCTGGCTACTGCAGCTCCTGCCAGCAAGGCTTTGCACTGAAAACCTGCTGTCTTTTGTCCATAGGGTTCTTTAATGCCAAAACTTCCCCCATAGGGATAGTGTTTTTTTTTTAGAAAGTTGAGCTACCTGTACATCCACTTTAGTAAGCTCTTCACAAATCTCATCGCTCGTGATTTTAAAAAATTCCTTAAAGTGCAGTGAAATACAGGCTTGTTTTCAGGATTTTTCCACTCTCTGTAGATTAAATTAATGATATGCTGTTGAACAGGAAAACCTTTTTTTGAATTTGCAGACACATCTGGTATCATGACCAGGTTAACTTCCTTCATAAACTTGCAGAGTTCATCTGAAGGGAACCCAAGAATTTCACATGAAGATGTGCTAGACATGTCTGAATCTGTAGAGGCAGAACATTCACCAGATGACGTATCAGATACAAAAGATCGTCTCCTTTTCTTGACCCTCTGACTTTCTTAGATTCCTTAAAAGTATCCAAGGTCTGGGCCAAGTTATCCTGAAACCAGGTTAGGAAAGATTGCATGTCTTTCTGTTTAGATTTTTCCAAGGAATTTGCAGTACACTGATTGCATACTTTTTTCTTCGTGCCATCTGGAAGCGGATTTGCACACTGACTGCAAGTTAAATGCTTAGATTTTGACGCAGCCTTTCTAGGCGTAGGTGTCAGCAATTTCTCCTTCTCCATTTCTGGATAATCAGGACTAGACATATCTGAAAACAAAAGAATAATGGCACAACTTTAAAACTTGTCCTTTTTTTCTAGATTTTGTTTGTTTCTACAGAGATAATTTGAAAGTAAAGATCTCTCACCTCAAAATGACTCTGAGCCATGTGGAGGGGCTGGTGACATGGCTTACCTCTTCTGGTAAGCATCCATGCTGTCAGTGGGTACTTGCACAGTTTTATATATGCTGAAATTAAATTTTCGCATTTTTCTTTTTAAATAAAATTTCGTTTGGCGCATGCGCAATAGCGCAGCCGGAACTTTTGGTGGAACGCATCCCCTCCCGTGCATTCCACCATGTGCGCAGGGCTTAATTACATCATACCTGCACCCAGGACCGCCTCCATGAAGATGCCGGAAACCTTCTCGGCATAAAAGGGATGACAGTCTTTGCTCCGTAACCGCAGAGGCAGGAGCATGGCCGCTCAGCTTACCACCCGGGCAGCTATCGGGCCGGATCCCCCAGACCAGCAGCCTGTGTGTCTCACCTCCTAGATGCCAGTCTGTCCCTGACAGGGACAAGTAAGGAAACTAATTGAGAATACAATATAAAATAAGGATGGTCTAGGAAGCAATAAAGTTTTGTCTTTTAGATATATATTATATAAAAATATAAATATAACATAGTTCATATATGACAAAGTAACTTCTTTTACTTTTAATCATTTTAGGACCTCCCTTAACTTGGTCAAAAATACAAGGCCATCACTAAACGGTGTACACGTCATGGAAAATTCCCTGACTTAGGTCAAGATGGCATCTTAAAGTCTGAACATCTTTATCTACTTAGGGTTACCACAGTATATTATGTACTGAAAGAGTCGTAGCATAGCCTTGAAGCTTGTATATGCATTATTGTTATAGTATTTCGTCTGGGACAAAATGGTGTAACTATATTATTCACTGAAGAGGTTATTGCTTAAAGAAACATGTATGAAAAACAATATGTTCCATTTCTAACACCTTGTCAGTTTGCAATATCTCTTAAAGACAAAGTACACAGTTTGAGAAATACAGTATTTGCATTTGCCCATAACAGTATTTCACACCAACATGTCTATTTAAAGGGACACTATAGTCACCAAAACAAATTTAGCTTGATGAAGCAGTTTTGGTGTATAGATTATGCCCCTACAGTTTCACTGCTCAATTCTCTGCCACTTAAGAGTTAAATCACTTTGTTTATGAACCCTAGTCACACCTCCCTGCATGTGATTTGCATAGTCTTCCTAAACACTTCCTGTAAATCATCTACAGTTTATCCTTCCTTTATTGAAAGTTCTGTTTAATTTAAATTTTCTTATCCCCCGCTATGTTAATAGTGTTCTAGACCCTGCAAGAGCCTCTTGTATTTAATTAAAGTTCAATTTATAGAGAAAGAGATACAATTGTTTAAGGTAAATTACATGTGATTGAAAGTGAAACAAGTTTTTTTTTCATGCAGGCTGTGTCAATCAGAGCAGGGGAGGTGTGACAAGGGCTGCATAAACAGAAACAAAGTGATTTAATTCCTAAATGGCATATAATTGAGCAGTGAAACTTGAGAAGCATGATCTACACACGAAAGCTGCCTAATTAAGCTAAAGTTGTTTAGGTGACTATAGTGTTACTTTAACATGGTTAGGACATCTAACAAAATCTCTTGGAAAAACTGTGGGGACGTTGCCCATGTATGTGAGGGTATCCCTTGCTACTACCTTTTTGGATTAAAGGGACTGTCCAGTGCCAGGAAAATATACTGTTTTCCTGGCACTGCAGGTCTCCTCTCCCTCCCACTTCCCATCCCAAGTTGCCTGTATCCAGCGCTGATATCCCTCGGTGCTGGGTCGGGCTGCCCCTACTCTCCCCCCTTCCGACATCAGCCAGCGGGGGAGACCTATTGCGCATGCGCAGCCAGTGGTGGGGGAGACCTAATGCGCATGTGCAGCAATGCCGTGCATGCGCATTGGACCTCCCCATAGGAAAGCATTGAATAATGCTTTCAATGCTTTCCTATGGGGATTTCGGCGACGCTGGAGGTCCTTACATAGCGTTAGGACGTCCAACGTCGTATAACACACTTTTCGTGTTCTATGAACACGGAAGTGTCCTCTAGTGACTGTCTACTAAATATTGCAGTTCATGAAAACTGCAATAATTACACTTGCAGGGTTAAGGGTAGTGGGAGTTGGCACCCAGACCACTCCAACGGGCAGAAGTGGTCTGGGTGCCTGGAGTGTCCCTTTAAGGTGGTGGGGCTAATCTCCTGAAACCTAGCAAAGCCAATTCCCCTATCCATGAGGTATTTTTGCTTTCTAATCTAACTAAGACTAATGTAACAACAGTATTAAAGATATTATCTTTTTTTAACATGATATTCAGTTGTCACTCAGCCCTTTACGGGGTGGCATAATTTAAAATTTTCAATGACCTTCAATGATTTATTTGCTGTATGATAAGCTAACACTATTGAACTTACTGGAAAATGAGGGTAAAACTAAAGGAACACTATAGTCACCAGAACCAGTACAGATTAAAGGACCACTCTAGGCACCCAGACCACTTCAGCTTAATGTTGTTGTTTTTAAAATATGTTTTATTTTAGGAAAATTCACAGCTCATATGTGCACTTCTACGGTAAACATTTGTATTGTACTACTGTTCTGTATACAATACGATACCCTCCATGTATACCTTTTCCCCTAACCCTGCCCCCAATCCAGTCCTTAATCTAACCCATAATCATATCCATAATTCTTTTTATTTTATTTTTTTTTTCATTTCAGACCTTACCAGCCTCTTATGTTCTTTCCTACTTTACATCTCGGGCTTGGTATATTAGTCATCATCAATGTTCTCTCTCTCCACTTTTTCCTATTAAATGACTTTAATTTCTAGAAAAAAACATTATTATTAATCAAAAAAAAAAAAACATGAAATAACCATACACAACATTCATACATGATGGTGGAACCCTCTTCCCTCGTCTCTCTGCATTACTATTCATAGTAATAATATATGAGCTAGCACTTCTCTTTTCTTTTCTCCTTTCTTTCCTTTTCTTTTCCCTTCATTTCTTTCCATTTTCCTTTCCCTTCTTTTTCTCTCCCTTTCTTTTCTCTCTTCCTTTCTTCCTTCCCTTCCTCTTCTATGTATATTAGTCTACTGCCAACAGTTTTTCTAGCAACTTATTTATGTGAAATACATTTTTTTCCTTCAAATTTCTGTTCAGACCTCCCTCCATCCTAAATTGCGAAATTAATAGGTTTTTTACTATATCCCAGTTTGGTAGAGTTTTAGTTCTCCACCTTTTAGCTATGGAGAGTTTTGCTGCTATTAATGCATGAGAAAGAAAATATTGCAAATCCACATTATACTGATAAATATTTAAGTGTATTATGCACATTTCCGGGGCAAGGGGAAAATTAAATCCGGTTACCATTTCTATTTTAAACAAGAACATTTTCCAAAATTCTTTAAGTGGGGGGCAACTCCACCAAATATGTAGACAATCTCCAACTCCCCCTTCACATCTCCAGCATGTATCTGTTTTACTCTGGTCTATTTTATTTAGACGGCTAGGGACCAAATTGTCATGTATTCATCCGCTTATAGAAATGTGGTTAATGACATTTACTGTCCACACAGGAAAAGTTGTGCCGAGCAGCAACCTTATCCACAGAAGGTTTAATGCTGAGCAGTAATTGTGCAAATGAAACCTGGTCTCATGTATTCATCCGCTTATAGAAAAGTGGTTAATGACATTTACTGTCCACACAGGAAAAGTTGTGCCGAGCAGCAACCTAATCCACAGAAGGGTCAATGCTGAGCAGCAATTATGCAAATGAAACCTGATAACTGACTTTGGGGTCAAAGGCCGGTTACAGCCTATCAGAAAGAAAGGAGGGGTATTTAGGCTCAGTTCTCAGCCTGCTCAGTGCCCTGTCGTGGTTTCCCTTGTGGTTGTCTGAGAGCGCGTTCCTGTTTATAGTTTTCTACCTGGTTTTTTGACTTTGGCTTTGTTTATTGACTTCTCTATATTCTGGTATCCTGACTCCTGGCTTTCCTCATCGCTGTGTCCCTTTCTGTGTTCCCTGACCTCGGCTAGTATTTTTGACTATTCTTTGTACGTTAAATCCGGCCATTCTAAGGACCGGTAATACGTTACTTATTTGTCATCCGTGCTGTACAGTTCTATGTGCTGGATCAAACAGTAATCCTGACATTACGACATGGCCATAGATCCTGTAGAACTGTGTCAGCACATAGCTGCTTGCGAGAGGAAATTAGAGGAGAATGATCACCACATGGATCAATTCACTCAGGCTTTAAGTACGCTTCTCGCTAGAACGGAGCATCTGCAGCCTGCAGCGTCTCCTCCTATAGCACCTCTACCCTGTGTACCTCCACCCACTGTTAATATGACTCCTAGCATCTCCTTATCACCATCCCTACAGTTTGATGGCAATATCCAGGAATGCAGGGATTTTCTTAATCAGGTGGACCATTTTGAGGCCTCACCAGGGTCATTCCCCATGGACAGAGCAAGAATTGGTTATCTAATGAATCAATTAAAGGGCAAGGCCCTTGCCTGGGCTAATCCGTTGTGGGAGAGTAATCGGAGCATAGCTCATAATTACCAGGAATTCCTTGCCGAATTCAAGCTCACGTTTGAGCCATTGGGTAGAGAGGATGACGCCTCCACTGCCCTAATGCACATCAGACAAGGTAACCGGTCTATCTCGGATTATGCTATTGAATTCCGTACCTTAGCTTCCGAGGTAGACTGGACTAACAATGGCTTAATCTCAGCATTCAAAAAGGGTCTCTCAGAGACTATACTAGATGAGATAGCCGCTAAAGAATTACCTAAGAGTCTTAACAAATTTATTATGTTTGTCATGCATATTGATAATAGGTTAAGACTCAGAGAAGTCACCAGAAGCAAGACCAGACGTACGGCTATGTCCCTAGCACCTCAATTCTCTAAACCTGTTTTGTCTAACCTCCCTGTACAGTCCGAACCCGAACCTATGCAGTTGGGGGTCACTAGACTGTCAGAGGCCGAAAAACAGTATAGGAGAAGGGAGGGGTTATGCCTATATTGCGGTAGAAAGGGACATATGATAACTAATTGTCCAGTGCGTCCGGAAAACTTCCGCACCTAAGAACCTTAAGGGGACAGATCTTAGGTGTGATGGAGTTGTCCTCTAACAAAAACAAAAGTAGATTCCTCCTTGAGGTATCTATTTCCCTTGATAACAAGAAGTTTTCTTGCAGTGCCCTAATGGACTCAGGTGCTGCTGGAAATTTTATTGATGTCCAGTTTATTAGGGGTAATGAGATACCGGTCAGGGAGAGACCTACACCGCTAGCTGTAGAGGCTATTGATGGTAGACCACTCACACAACCGCTTATAACCCACGAAACTGTCCCTATTACGATCTCCATTGGGGCCTCCCATAGGGAGGAGATGACGTTTCAGGTTATTACTTCTCCATCATGTCCTATCATATTAGGGTTTCCGTGGCTGAGTAAGCACAATCCCTATATTGACTGGGCTAATGGGGAGATATTAGAATGGGGTAAAGAGTGTATGGGGAGATGTATAAAACCAGTACTAAAGAGATTGGATACTATTGACCTTCCCACTACCACTCCCCAAACTCCTGGAGTTCCCATACAATACCGAGAACTTCAGGAGGTGTTTAACAAGGCTCAATCTGATGTATTGCCTCCCCACAGAGCATATGACTGTGCCATTAACCTGTTTCCAGGCGCTATGCCACCTAAGGGGGCAGTTTATGCCTTATCTCCCCAGGAGAGTAAAATAATGGAGGAATACATCAAAGAATCCTTGAGCAAAGGGCACATAAGAAAGTCATCCTCACCAGCTGGTGCAGGATTCTTTTTTGTTGAGAAAAAGGGTGGTGAGTTACGCCCTTGCATAGACTACAGGGCACTTAATAAAATCACTGTAAAAAATGCATACCCTATCCCACTCATTTCCGAATTGTTCGATAGACTTCAGGGAGCTAAAGTATTTACTAAGCTTGACCTTAGGAGCGCTTACAATTTGGTTAGAATTAAAGAGAATCATGAGTGGAAGGAGGCATTTAATACCCGTAGTGGACACTATGAATATTTGGTAATGCCATTTGGGTTATGCAACGCCCCGGCCTTATTCCAAGACTTTATAAATGATGTACTCAGGGAATTCATTTACTCATTTGTCTTGGTTTATTTGGACGATATTTTGGTGTATTCCCCTGATCTTCAGACTCACCACTCCCATGTGAAACAGGTTCTGCAGACGTTGTTGAAAAATAAACTTTATTGCAAATTAGAAAAGTGCATATTTGACCAGCCTGAAGTCCACTTTTTGGGTTACAACATCTCTGCATCGGGATTTCAAATGGATCCTAAAAACTAGAGGCTGTACTACACTGGCCATTACCCTCTGGTTTAAAAGCCATTCAAAGGTTTATTGGTTTTGCCAACTATTACAGAAGATTCATCAAGGGATTTTCTTCTGTAATAGCCCCAATCACAAATATGACTCGCAAAGGGGTTAGTAGCACGGTATGGTCCAAAGAGGCTGTGAATGCTTTTGAGACTCTTAAACAAAGATTTGCCTCTGCGGACATACTAAAACATCCCGACACTAGTAAACCTTTTATATTGGAGGTTGATGCATCCGAGACAGGGGTAGGGGCTGTTCTCTCTCAGAGAGAAAGCCAGGGAACACCATTGCATCCTTGTGGCTACTTCTCCAGAAAGATGTCTCCTGCTGAGCGCAACTATGATATTGGCAATAGAGAACTGTTGGCCATTATTCTTGCCCTCAAGGAGTGGCGACATCTTTTGGAGGGTTCCAAGGACCCCCTGTTGATCATAACCGACCACAAAAATCTGGCATATATAGGGGATGCCAAACGTTTGTCTTCCAGACAGGCTAGATGGTCACTATTCCTTTCACGTTTTAACTTTCTCATTACTTATAGACCTGGTTCTAAAAATACCAAGGCTGATGCCTTGTCCAGGCAATTTGATAATGAGTCAGCTCCGGAACAGGTGACATCTCCTATTATTCCACCAGAGTGTATTATTGCCACTACTGTCCTCTCACTGTCTTCTCCACTGCTTGGCACCATACTGGAGGCCCAGCCTCAGGCGCCCAGTGGTAAACCGTGTGATAAACTGTTCGTTCCCCTATGTGAAAGGGTTAATATCATGAAAGTGTTCCATGACAATATAACTGCTGGACACCCGGGCATCAATAAGTCCACTGCCGCGATCACTAGATCATTTTGGTGGGATTCACTCAGGAAAGATGTAAAGGAGTATGTGCAGGCATGTTCTGTGTGTGCAGTTTCTAAGGTGACTCATGCACTTTCTTGTGGCCTGTTGCAGCCTCTTCCTGTTCCTGAGATTCCTTGGTCCCACTTATCCATGGACTTTATTGTAGAGCTTCTTAGCTCTGCTGGGTTCACTACTATTCTCATGGTTGTAGACCGATTTTCTAAGATGGCTCACTTCATTCCTCTCAAGAAGTTGCCATCTTCGCAAGATTTGGTCCTAATTTTCATACGTGAAATTGTCCGTTTGCATGGCATCCCCACAATATTGTGTCCGATAGGGGCTCTCAGTTTGTGTCCAGGTTCTGGAGGGCGTTCAGTAAACAATTGGGGATTGATCTCTCCTTCTCCTCCTCCTACCATCCACAGACCAATGGTACAGCTGAGAGGGCTAACTAGTCATTAGAAGTTTATTTGCGTTGTTTTATTAATAGCACACAAGACAATTGGTCCGAACTACTCCCGTGGGCCGAGTTCGCTAGAAACAATGCTGTTCATGACTCCTCTGGGCACAGTCCATTTTTTGTCAATAATGGTAGGCATCCTACGGTTCTCCCTGCGGTATTTTCTGATACTGCCATTCCTGCTCTGGATGAGCGTCTGGCCTCCATTCGGGATACCTGGGTTAAGGTTCAAACTGCTCTAGGGGCTGCTGCTGAATGCTTCAAACATTTTGCTGATAAGCGTAGGAGTGCCAACCCGGTGTACCAAGTGGGGGACCGGGTTTGGTTGTCATCTCGCAACATCAAGCTTAAGGTCCCTAGCATGAAGTTTGCCCCCAGATTCCTTGGTCCCTATAGAGTGCTTCGTAGGATCAATCCAGTGTCTTACTCTCTGGCTCTTCCTGCATCTTTAGGGATTCCCAACACTTTTCATGTGTCCTTACTCAAACCTCTTGTCTGCAATAGATATACTGTTCCTTGTGTTCCTCCCCCTCCGGTGGTGGTGGGTGGTCAGGAAGAGTATGAGGTATCTTCTATCGTGGATTCTAGGTTTTCTCGGGGCACTTTACAGTACTTGGTTGTTTGGAAAGGTTACGGTCCTGCTGATCGTTCTTGGGTTTCGGCTCCTGACCTGCATGCGGGCCGTAAGATCCGCGCTTTTCACGCTAAATTTCCTCTCAAGCCTGGTCCTGTCCGCCCGGTGGGCGTTCTTCAGGTGGGGGGTAATGTCACGTATTCATCCGCTTATAGAAATGTGGTTAATGACATTTACTGTCCACACAGGAAAAGTTGTGCCGAGCAGCAACCTAATCCACAGAAGGTTTAATGCTGAGCAGTAATTGTGCAAATGAAACCTGGTCTCATGTATTCATCCGCTTATAGAAAAGTGGTTAATGACATTTACTGTCCACACAGGAAAAGTTGTGCCGACCAGCAACCTAATCCACAGAAGGGTTAATGCTGAGCAGCAATTATGCAAATGAAACCTGGTAACTGACTTTGGGGTCAAAGGCCGGTTACAGCCTATCAGAAAGAAAGGAGGAGTATTTAGACCCAGTTCTCAGCCTGCTCAGTGCCCTGTCGTGGTTTCCCTTGTGGTTGTCCGAGAGCGCGTTCCTGTTTATAGTTTTCTACCTGGTTTTTGACTTTGGCTTTGTTTATTGACTTCTCTATATTCTGGTATCCTGACTCCTGGCTTTCCTCATCGCTGTGTCCCTTTCTGTGTTCCCTGACCTCGGCTAGTATTTTTGACTATTCTTTGTACATTAAATCTGACCATTCTAAGGACCGGTAATACGTTACTTATTTGTCATCCGTGCTGTACAGTTCTACGTGCTGGTTCAAACAGTAATCCTGACACAAATAAAGTCTGTTAATAATCTTAAAATGTAGTTCCACTAAATTTAGGCATTTAATGTGCCTAGCAACTGTCAGCCATGCTGTATTCCACTCTTGACCATCGATTTTTTGTATTTTTAGATCTTTCTCACATTTTTTTATCGCTGGAAACGTCAGGTCACCCTCTAGTTGTCTCAATACCGAATAACACTTATTTAGTAAATTTTTTATGTCCTTTCCTTTCAGTAAATTTCCTAGTTTATTGTTAAATTCCCATTTCTCTTTATTTAAAGTTTTATTCAGATAGCTTTTAATCCTCATGTAATTAAATTTCTCAGTTTCGGGAAGACTGAAATTAGTGCATATTTGTTCAAACGGATTAACCCAGGGTCCTGTTGTTATATCTTCTATGGTTTGTATACCTGCTCTTCCCCAATTATTTAGTCTTAGGTCTTGCATATTATTTTCCAATATTGAGATCGGTAGGGTATTAATAATGTGATTTTTAAATCCTGCACTTTTATTTTATCTTACTCCACATTCCTCTAATGGATTCAATTACCACACTATCAGAGCTTGGTTGGGTCTTATTTGTATCTCCTTCTTGAGTAAACCAAAAAAATGTTACTAACTCCCTACCTTCTGCAAGTTCTTTTTCCACCGCGTACCACTTTTCTAGCTTAACCCCAGCCAATTGTGAAATGATACTATGGAAAAGGATACTCACTTTGTGGTATTGTTGTATAAGTGGGAATCTTACCCCTCCCTTAGATTGATTGATCGAGAGGAGTTTTCTTGCCATTCTAGGTTTTTTTGCTTGCCATATGAACTTAGACCAGGCCTGTTGTATTAATAGCAGCCAACTGTCAGGGACACTCAGAGGGATCATTCTAAACAAATATAACCATTTTGGTAAGATGTAAGACTTAATAATATTAATACAACCCCACCACGAAAATTCTAAATTCTTCCAACCCTTTAGGAGTTTGTTCATTTTAATAAGCAATGGAAGAAAATTGATCTCTACTATTTTCAGAGGGTCAGCACATATATTAATTCCTAAATAATTAAATGAGTTTTCGACCCATACGAAATTGAATTTTTTCATAATCTTGTTTTTTTCTTCTTTATTTACATTTACAGCTAAAATAGATGATTTTTCTATATTTATTTTGTATCCAGAAATCATATCCATAATTCTACCAATAATTTTACCTCTAATCCTACCGATTATCCTAGCCATAAACCCACTCCTAATCCTGCCCCTAATACTGCCCCCAATCCCACCCCAGAGGGATTCCCCCTGCTGACATCAGTTCTGACATCACCAGAGGGATTTCCCAGATAACAGATTACAGAATACTCTGCAAGCACTCTGTATTCTGTGATCTCCCTCTCATGCTGCGGCGCTGGAAACTGTGTATATTGATCACTAAGCAAAGAGACAAGCAAGGAGACCTCACTGGGGTCTTTTCAGACCTTAGGGGTATCTGTCATCATGGGGGCAGCCTCAAACTCACCACAGCTGATCGCAATTGCTCAGGCATGGCAATTAAATGGATTTAAAGACTACTATGCGTATCTGGACTACTTTGAGTGCTGCATATTGCTCATCTGTTAGTCCTGGGACACTTATCAAAAGGTACTTGGGACTGCTTGATGCCAGCATGGATTTACTGAGTAATACAGGAGAGCTAATGCCATGTAAAAAGTACTCATATTTTCAATGGACATAGCAGCTTGGTCATATCGTTTTCTAAAACAATAGTTGACACTATGATTGGTGTGAGCTCTTTCCACGTGGAGGAAAGTATTGCTCAGAAAATTAAAGAAAAGAGGCATGTTCTCTAGACACTACTAGACCCCATTCAAAATATCAATGTTTCCAATCACAATTCATCCTATTTCTGTTCAAAAGTACTCAAAACCACAGGAAAGATTGTATACAACTTGTTTTTATGTTCAAGCTCCTTTAGTAATATAGTTGGAACCTAGTATGTGCAAGGATAGTACAATGGATTCACCACAAGTCCGAATACTAAAGCTCAGCCTTGTCAGACTTGCATAGTGCAACACACATGTAGTTATGTCACCAACATAGCTATTACGGCAATATCATTGGATTGTTAAAGGGACATGATGTTGAGTGCAAAACACTATGAAAGTGCTATTTCATAGATGTACCCCTGCACAGTGAATTATAATACTTACCTGGTTTACAGTTTGCTTTTAGTACAGTTAGCATTGCAAACTAAAATGTCATTATATTTTAAATGTGTCAAGATATATCAACAGTATGAAATTCTGTATGATTCTCAGGATCCTGTATGTCATACTGATAGGGCATTAAATGGCCTTTTAATTGGAAGATGATTGAAGTGTTGACCTTAAAAAGAAAAAAAAGGGAAGAGATTTAAAAAATGTTTTTGCAAATTTTAATACATGCTTTTTTTTAACATGGTATGGCTCTGAACCATGAGTGCTATTCACATTATATTTGTGTATACAGTTCACACTATGTCGTGTTTTAAGTTCATATTTTAGGTACCATCCATTCTTTCATTGCTACATGGTGGTATTATTTATATTTTATATTTTCACTGGTATCTGTGTGTACTATTTTATTCTTGGTAGGGAATACTTTGCCTTGTGCATTTTCCTACTCTTAACAAAACTTGACAAAGGGCAGAGGTGAAGGCAAGCTCCACTTTTCCTATCATACTTACCTACCCGTCTTGTCCCTCAAGCTCAAATCTTCAATTTTCCTTTGTCTTTCGGTGTGTTCCACTCATGCAAAGTACTTGCTTATGGGTCTGGAGCTTGCTTACCCAGCAAGTTGTCCAGGCCACGTGTCTGAATGACTGAATTCTAAAGGCATGCAAAGCATGGGGATCTACTTTTTGGGCACCCCTGCTTTATATGAATATTGTGGACTTATTGAGTTATTTTATTGGGTAATAAAAAAATACAAAAGGATTGGAGAGGAGGAGACTTTAATAAAACTATAGTAGAAATAGAAATGGAATGGATCTATACCTTGAACATAATGATCCCTCAAGGTCTAAACAGCGATTTTGAAATATGCAATTTTCTTGATAATTCCAAAATATTAACCCTTGGTCCACCACCCAGAGTCAGCAAAAGGAAACACAGCTGTTTAACTCAGATACAGTCTCTTGATTATATTAACATATATTTTGTCATCTATAAGTATAATGTCTTTATTAAAAGATACATCTTTAAAGTTGATATAAAACTAAGGATTCAGATTGTTTGATATAGGATACTTTGCATCATTATTGATATGCTGTCATACGGTTATAGAATACTATAATATAGTTTTGATTTATTTTCTGTAAAGTTAGTAGACTTAATGATACAGGAACCTAAATATTATGAAATCATATGGTTAGAAAACAATTGCTGTAAGATTAATTGAATATTGATGATGGGAGATTCACTATGTCTAATAATATGTCGCAAAATTATTATAATGTGAAGATAATGTTATAGTATTAAGCAGATAACTATTTGGGTGAAGATAAACAGTATAATTGGTATTCCATATTTTCTTTTATATATTTCTCTATTTCTTTTACATTATGTATACATATATAGGGGACATGGACATGATATATAACTAATCTAAAAGACTCCCAATCATATGGAACACATATTGGAATGCATATACAGAGAATGGAAAGAAACATTTTTTATATATATATAT